AATATATTTTATTTTTTAAGTATTCCAGGAATAACAGGATTTATTTATAATATTATATTAAAATTTATTTATTACTATTTTTATAAATTAATATATTTATTAAGACATTATATTTCACGGGGCGGAATCAGATTAAAAATTAATATTAAAAAAGAAATTTAGTCTATTATACTTAATAAATATTTAATCTTTTAATAGTTATAAAATACTCTAAGACTTAGTAATTAATTAAAATATTAAAATAATTTATATACTAGAGTTTTTCTAATTTTAGTTACTATTTCTCTAAAATATAAATAATTATTAATAGTTTTATATTATAAATATTATAATTATATTCCATAGAGGACATAATCTTAAAATAATAAATTATTAAATATTAGATTTTATTTACAAACTATGAAAAATATTTTTATAATAATTTTATTAATAACATCTATTTTAATATAAATAAGAAATATAAAAGTATAATAGATAAAAATAAAGATTAAGACTAATATTTTTTTAAATATCTTAAAGATTCTAGTATAAATATAATCTTAATTAAAGATAATATTTTTTTAAATTAGTTATGTCAGAGATTATATTATTTTATAAATTTTAATAAATTTTTAATAAAAATTATAAAAATTTAAAAATAATTAAATTTTTTATATAGTTGTCAGGGTCTCTTACTTAATAATAATTATAATTTTTATTAGATTTATTTAAATACTATTAATAGTAATAATAAATTTAAAAAACTTAGTTTTTATAATATAAAACTTATATTTATAAATAGTAACTTATAAATCTATAATTTATAATTTTTTAAGTACTAAATGTACATATAGTTTATATTTAATTATATTATTATTATAAATAAATATATTATTAATATAAGATATAATAAATTAATTTAAATATTATATTAAAATTTTATAAAAATTTTATTAATCAGTTATTAAAAAGCAGTAGATCTATTAATAAATTTAAATAAAAGAATTTAATACTTCAATAGGCTATATTATATGTTAAAAATTATAAAATCTTTTAAAATAAGGTCTATTCAGATCTAATAAAAATTTTATTATATATTAAATTTAATAAAAATCTTAGTATTACATAGGCAGTCTATTATTTTATTAATAAGAAATAAAGAATATAGATTTTTTTAATTAAAATATTTAATTTTTAATAATTTATATAAAAATAGAGATCCCCTCCAAGTTTTTAAATTATTAAAATAAAAAAATAAAGAATATAGAATTTAATATAATAAATTTTTTAACTAGATTTTTTATAATATAATTATAGAAGATTTATAGCTTTTTTATTATTATTTTATAAAAAAAATATATTTAAAAAGTTCTTACTCTTTAGCTAAATTGTAATATTAAAATAGAGATAATATATTAAAACTTTTTAAAAAAAAATATTTATTAAATTATAGTATTATTTAAAAAGGATCTTTTTAATTTTATTCTTTTTATTTATATATAGAATCTCTAGTTTTTTTATAAAATCTTTTTAATAGTATTAAATAAAGTAATAAAGATCTCTATCTTTAAGTTTTTTAAATATTATTAGAAGCTAGCTATTCTAATAAAAATTATTTTTCTATAGAAAAGTCTAATTAGGATATACTTTAATTTAAGCTTTAAAATTCTAGAGAGAAGATAATACTAGTAGTTTTTTTATCTAAATTATATTCTATCTTTACTAGAGCCTCGTACGGGCTGTTTCAGTTAATATAGGAAAAAATTAATAATAATTATAAAGATTTTAATTATTTATTTTTTAATTATATTTTATAATTCTTTTAAATTATATTTTATTAATATTTATAATCTACTAAGGACCGCTCCAAGATAATTTAAAAAATATTTATAAGAAGTCTAACTTTTACTTTATTCTCTAATATTAATTAGCTTAGTTAGATCAGTCAGTAATTCTAGTAATCTAATAAAATATTATATTTAATAAACTATATTTTTTAAGGATAGTATCATGCCTTTCTAAATCTAGTATAAAAAAATATTTAAAAATTAATAATTATTAATTAGAAGATTCAATTAAATTATATATATTAGATTAATAGTTTATTTCTTATTAAAAGTTATAACTAAAGTTATCTTACTTAAGAATAATATCAAGATCTTAAAGTATTAGATTATTTTAATAGTAAATTAAGTGTCTATTACTCAGTAAGTATTAATTTTAAAATTAATAAATATATAAGTAAAAATAGTAATATTATTTTTAAAAATATAAAATAATAATTATAAAACTATTACTATTATTCTCTAATAGATCTTATAAATTTATTATATTTATCTAAATTTCTAATTTATTTAAAATACAGATTTTTCCTAAATATTATTTTTTATTTATTTAAATTTTTTTATAGAGACTTCCAGAACCTTTACTTATATAATTTTTCTTAAAATATTTTTTATTCTTATAGTTAGGTTTTTTATAAAAATATTTTTTTATTAACATTTTTCTAGTTTTTAGCTCCAAATTTAAAGTATAATTTAAAATCTTAAAAATAATGTTTTTAAAGTTTGGGATATTAAAAAAAATATAAAAATTATAAGATTTATTATAATTATTAGTAATAGCAGTATTATTTTTAATATAATCTTTTATTAAATCATTAATTAAGTCTATAAAATTCGCATATTACTTTATATATGTATTAAAAAAATAATACTTATTATTAAAATTATATATAATAGATTTTTTTTAATTTAGAAAATAATTTATTATATAAGTTTTTTTTTAAAATTTCTACTAATTCTAACATCTACTGCGAAGTAATAAAAAATAGAAATAAAAATATAAAATTCTAATTTTTATATATAAGTTTTAGTACTGGTGATAGGTATTATAAATCTTATAAAAATTAATAAAAATAATTTCTAAATATTCTAGCATATTCTTAATATTATTATAAAAATTAATCATACTTAGACAGAGTCTAGGTATTAAATATCTTTTTATATTATTTTTATAATAATTAATAATATAAGATTTGCGTACTACTAAAATAGTAAATTAATTAATATTAATTTTTAATTTCTAATATATAACTAATATCTAGTTTTTAATAAAAATATTATTTTTATTATTGAATAAAAATAGATTAGAGATTTTTATTATTCTTTTAAATTTAGGGATAGTTACACTTCAAAAAATAATTAAAATTTAATAAATAATTTATATTATAAAAATATCTTATTTTCTAATAATATTATCTTATTTTTAAATAAGAATAGTTATCTCCTAGCTCTAATAGTCTTATTTATTAAGAAGATTATCCCTTTTAGTCTTCAAATTATTAAAAATCTTTAGAAAGATTTTAAAAGTTTATTTTAAATCTTTTTTATATTTAATATTAAATTGAGTTTAATTAAATCTATCTTCCTAGTCTACTTTATTAGATAATACTATAGAAAGTCGTTAGTTATCCTTAGGACTAAAAATCTGGCTACTTTTTTTAATTATTTTATTTATTTAGTCAGTTAGTTAGGTGGATCTTTTTAATAATTAAATATTACTAAAAACGTGGAATAGGGACTACTAATAGCTTAATAAGAACTAGTTATATATAATAATAAAAAAAATAAAAAATAATATTTAAAGTTATAAAACAGCTATTTAATATAAGAAAATAAGATTATATTAGTGCTAACTACTCTAGAACTTTAAGTATAAGAAAGAAAAAAGAAAAATAAGAAATATTATAAATATTCACTTGGAGAAAATAATAGTAAATAATAGTAAAATAAATAAAATAAATATAGTCATATACTTTTAAACAGAGCCACCGTCACATTTAATATATAAATCAAGAAAATCCTAAAACCTATATTAAAATAAAAGAAAAAATAAAAATAACTTTTAGTATATTCTTCTAGAGCTTATTTCTTAGAATATAATTTATGAAATTACAATTATTATATAATTTTAAATTGGAAAAATAAAATTTGATATATTTTCTATAATTATTTATTAATTCAATATTAATTATTATCTGTATAGCAAAGCCTTGAAGATTATATATTATTTAATTATTATATATAGTTAATATAATATAATATAATATATAATCTAGATCTATGAGAATAGAAATAATGATAATAAAATTCTTTATAATTTTATTTTTAATGTATCAATATAGGCAGTATTTATAAATTTAATAACAATATTATTAAAAAATTTATATGATAAATAATATACTTCATATTTATAATGGATTATCTTATATATCTAAATAAATTTAGTCTATTCTCATAAATACGGAGATACTCTGGCTAGAGTTTTTAATAAAATCTAATTACATAAAAATATTAATGAATAATAAGTAATAATTTATTTTTTTATATTAATATATTCTGTAGCGTTGTAATCCCAAGATCTTATTATTTTAAAAATATAAATAAACTTTTTAATTATATATTGAAGGCTTATATATTATATAAAGATTAATAAAAATTAAATATATAATTAGATTCCTTTTATAGAAACTTAGGACCATGTGATTAGAAGCTTATAAAAGAATTATAAGATTATAAATTAAAAAATACTATTATATGTTTAAAAAACCTATATAAAAAATATTAAGAGATTATAGACTATAATATATTATTTATTATATATAAATAAAAACTATATTCCAATTAAAAAATTAAATATAATTGTATAATATTACTAAGCTACTAGAATCTCTAGTATAGCCTAAAAGGTGCTAAAGCAGAGTCAGGAATAAAATAAATAGCTGAATAAACAAATAAATAAATAAATAAATAAATAAATAATATTTAATAATTATTATAGTTTATAATTTTTATATAATAGATTGATTTATATTAAGTAATAGATCGAAACCAATCAACCATTCTTTTATTTTTTTTATTTTTTAATATTATTTTACCAAGGTAGATTACTAGACGATAATAAATCTAATTAAGTAATTATAATCCTATAATATTGAAGTCTTAAATAGATTAGTATCACTAAACCAGAGGACTCAGCCTAATAAATATTCTATTATAATAAGAATCTATAGTCTTAACTTTATTACTTATCCTATTTCCTAAAGTTGAATACTTACTGGATATATACCAAATAGAATTTACCGAGAGGTAAATTAGAGGAGCGAACTAAAACTTAAAAGTTTACGATAGACTAAAAAACAGTTGAGCCCTTTCGAAATGTCTACTGGGTATTATGCTGTAGCTGGACAGGGCCTTAACTTTTCCCTTCTTTGTTTATCGTGATGTGAAGCGATGTAGCGATATCAAGATGATTAGACATGGAAGGCATAAAAATGTCTAGTCTATTGGTGGTCACAATGGGGGCAAGTTTACAGCTAATACACGAGTGCTTTACTAACGAGGACCAAGTGCTCTTTGATTGAATAGGTTGAGATCTCTAATTTCCATCGAGACAACAGTCCATCGAGACGCCATTACATCGTATTCTCCCTTGACCTCAACTCTGCAAGTTCCGTGGGGCCCAAGAATGCCAACAGGGCCTGAAATATACATGACGCCACGACGAGATGTGTGTATACTGTGAGCCGAGCTGTAATGCAGTCGCCACTTAAATGCCAATAACGCCATATGTAAATCAGAACCGAGCCCAAGGTTCGGCAAAGGCAACCTCTGCAGAATAGAGATGTATATCGAAGGGTGTAGACGGGAGCCGTCTTTGGTTAAAGAAGCGGCTTCTTGGGAGTTGGGCGGAGGTGACTGAGATACAGACCGAGATAGGTCATTTAACCCATCCAGGCCTCTCAAGCCCGATGATAATAGACCGCCATGCAAGGAAATCAACGTCTCGATCGTCTGCGCCTCATCTGAGCTTCCGCTAAACCGGGAAACCTGCCTGCCCCACAATACCAGAAGGGCATCCCTGATGGCATGCGCCACAACTAGGGGCCTTATCCATCTTTGAAGCCGATCACCGTCTTCGGCGGGCATAGGCTTCAGACCCCAGGAAAAGCCAGTCCGAGATATTTGTAATCTGCGGCAATGAGACACGGTTATCAGTCATACGGAGTACACATACCCAGAACGATAATAAGCAGGAGGTGCACGATATGGAAATTGATGTTCAAGCCAATACTCTGCAACGGAGAGCGGACCTCCTAGCATATGAGAGAGCAGACTCGATTGGGACGCGGCATCCAGGACAAGCAATACCAATTCATCTGCACATGTAGTAGTTAACCTCCTCGTAGCTAGATATCCGCCTGCTCAGAAATACCTTTCAAGCCAGGGAGCTTGTTGCGGTCGGTGGCTACTCTTCTAAAAGCCTGCCACTCTGGGTCTGTGCCTGTATATAATTCCCCTTCGCATAACCAAGGCCAGCCCAATGGAATGAAACGGGGTTGCACGTCAACTTCTGAGCCCGGAGGAACATAGCTGTTCCTGTCAAACTTCCCAGTTGGGGTTGGGGCTTCAGCCCCCGGTAGACGATCGGGCGACCCATCGGTATCGAAGAGCGTCTGATCAAGCGACAAAACAACGAACGAGCTCCATGAATGAAGGGCAGCTCCGGATAAGAAGATTGTCGCTAGGACTTTCCTGCATTCACAGTGAGTAAGATAGGCGAAAACACGGCACAATTATCGAAATTATATAATGCAGCCTACCTGACCCAGGGGCGTTTGATCTGCAGATAGCGAACAGGGGCGAATTTCGAACCACGAGGTAACGGTGGGCTAATCCGGAGTGTAATTTGAGGTTTTCGAAGTAGTCGCGCAGCACGATACATTGGAAGTATATAGCCGATGATGCTAGTTATTCGCGAAACATGTCACTTGATTATTGTCACTAGAAATCGAGACAGATTGGTTAATTGATTCTCTAAGTCAAATATAAGGCAAGAAGTAAAAGTTATCCGGGACCTGGGGGCAATACCTACGGAGCAAAACAGGCAGAATGTATCCCGCGGTACTCCGTACTCCGTAGAGCCCGTCTAAACAGCACGTGAGCCAAGCTGGCCATGCCAAGCCTGGGCCTCCATAACTATTACTAGTAATAAATACCACCAATATCTGAGGTGGTTTGTGGAGCGCGCAGATATTGAGCAAATCAATACTAGGTTCAGTCCTGCCAAGTAAGTTTCCAGCTCCTACACTTCTTATTAATCTATAGATCTTATAATATTAATTTTGGTTCATATTTTTATAGATGATATAATGTATTCTATTTTTCTAATATTATTAGTTCTTAAATATTATTGCACAAAGCCTTGAGCTATGTAAGGCTATGACCTCACATTTCCCACATGTGACTATCTGTGAGGCTCTGACCTTACATATCCTACATGTAACCAGTCCCAGGCAATTACTGACTACTGTTAAGAGAGCTATTGGTTATAAAATAACATTTATTAAATATAGTAGAACTTCTTATAGATATAAAATACTTATTTTATTGATATTAAGACTTATTATAAGAAAGAAAGAGTTTATTAAGTACTAAAAATCTTATTTACAAATATATATAAAAGATTATTTTTATATATATATAGATTTCTTTTTTTCAGATTTATTAATTTTAATATATAAATATTATCATGGTGTAACCTTCTAAGTCAGGAAAAAGAAAATATTACATTACTAAACCTAATTATCTAGTATATAATCTTCAAATATAATTAAAAATTATTTATTTTTTAGATTTTGTTCGTTGCCTTAAGCTATATTTTATTTATTAATCTATATATAATTTAATTAAAAATTAATTTAGTATCTAATTAGAGTATTAATTATTATTATTATTTAAAATTTATTTATTTATTAAAATTGATTATTTTATTATTTTAACTACCCGTATCTTGATAGTATAAATTTTTTTTAAAAATAGTAAATTTATAAAATGATTATTATTTTATAACTTATCATTAATTCTGAGAGATTAAATAAATTAATTTAGTTTTTTTAAATATTTTAAAACTTAATATAATTATTATAAATAAATTTTTATATTTATTATAGAGATTACAGGTGAGTAAAATTATTTACAATATAATTTTAATACTTCAAATATTATAATCATATATTAATTTCAATAGATTATTAAAATTAATTGCCAGCTAGTCAGCGTCTTAATTATAAAGAAATTATTATTAATAAATTAATTTCTAGTAAAATATATTAAAATTATATAGATCTAATTTTAATAATCATTACTCCTATCCTGACTCTAAAATTTATTATTAAAAAAGCTATAGTTTCCTTAGTAGAAATAGCTATATTTATTAATCCTAAATTTTTCATTATTTTTAAAAGAATATTAGTTAGATTTAGATTATTCTATTTTCTAGATCAAGAGAAAAATAAAATATTAATTATAACTATTATACTACTACTATTTTATATAAATCTGATATTACTAATTAAATAAATAAGCCTTTTTGTATCTAGATCTAATTTTTTTATAAAAGATATATCAAGGTACGGATAAGCTGGATAGTAGAATAATAGATTTAAGTAATAGACTTAGAGTAATTATCAATAATAACTAATATTTTAATTAGATACTAGATAGATTATTAATTAAGCTATATATAAACTTATAAGATATAGCTTAAAGTTATAAGTAAGATTTAAAAAATAGATAGTTTTTATTTATGCCTAGAGATTGTCATATGCTACGAAGCCTAATGACTACGTAAGATATAATAGTCTAAACAGTAATTAAATTTATCAAAAACCTATTTAATAATAAATAATTAGAATTATTTTATAAATTTCTTTTATATTTTTTTTAGAAAGTTTCTTTAGGACTCTTCTCTCTTTAAATATTGGTTTTTATTCCTTTAAAAAAGGGTTTTAAGATTTTTCTTCCTCTCTATAAATATAGAACTAGATAAATTAGAATAAAAAACATTTTAGTTCTAAATAATTAATAAAATTTAATTTTTTTAAGTTTTTTTTCCCCGCGGAGATATTATTAATCTATTTTACATATTAATTCAATAATTAAACGAAATTATATTATTTATTATAAATCTTTATATTATAAAACTTATTACCTGGTTTTTAAATAGATATAATATAATTTTTTACTTTATTAAAAATATTTTTTTATAAATATTTTGATTTAAAGAGATATTTTTCTTATCTATAATTTCTTTAATAATATACTTTTTAGTATTATTTTTTATAATAATTGTACTAGATCACTAGTTTATTATAATAATAAAATATCTATAGTAGTAAGTTAAAATAAATTAATATAAAGGATTAAATGAATATTAATTAATATATCTAATTTATAAGTGTAAATATTAACTTATCTAAATTTTATAAATATATATTCTTCTAATCTAACTTTTCACTAACATAATTAGTAGTAATATTTTTTAATTTTAATTAAATTGTATTATTAATTTTTATATCTTTTCTATACTTTCTAAACTATTATTATTATAAAACTAATAATACCTTAAATTCTTGAAATTTATTAAAAATAGTTTTTACTTCTAAAGACTTCAGGTCTAATAATTTTTTAAAAAATCTAATTTGATATTTAGATTTAAAGATTTTATATAAAAAGTGTATTAGAAAAATTTAATATTCATAGACATAATTGTCAAGACATAATTGTCAAGGTGTAGGCAGGCAGGGATGGTAGGATAGCGGGTTCTAGCAGGTGAGCAGGGTTCAAACGATGATAATAACTAGGATTCTAACTGGATACTAAGCATGCTACTAGTCAAGCTATATATAAAATAATAGATAAATAAAGCTCAAGACTACAGACAGAGTTTAGAAGATAGATAGTTTTTAATTATATTTAGAATCATGTACTAGGCAGTAAAACTTAATAATATTTTTTTCTAATTTAGAAGATTATACTATAATAATATTTTTCTCGTTTTTAAATTAAGTTTTCATAAAGTGAAAGTTAGGATTTACATAAATAATAATAATAAAAATTTTTAATAATTTAATAAATATTCTCTAAATATTCCGTGGATTTAGTATTAGTAGTAGAGTTAGTATATTTTATTTATTTTAAAAAGTATATTAATTAAGGGCGGACTTATCTCTAGTAATTTTAAAAAAAAATCTAATATATTTTTTATCTTTTATTTCTCGAGTCTATTAATCTTGATATAAAAAAAGAGAATTAATATTAATCTAGTAATAGATTATTATTAGTAAAAATAAATAAACTTATATTAAATTTTAAATAGATTTTTATATTTAAAAGGAGTTTCAGATAATATATATAAAAATTTATAATTTTTTTAATTAAATAAAATTTTAAAATATTTTTATCAAGTTTCTTATTAGATTATAAGATCTTAATAAATTAAATATCTAATTAAATATTTAATTAAATTTTTTATTTTTTTTTAAATCTCTAGCTAGAATAGTATCTTTTATTAACTTATTTTATATATCTAATTTAAGGCCTTAGGCTGCAGCCATCTCAACTTTTATAAATTTTATAATAATATATATTTTTATAATAAACTATTCTGCGTCTCTAATAGTAGATTAATTGAAAATAAATATAAGTTTAAATCTTATTTATAAATAAAAATTATAATTAGTGAAAAATAATATAGTTTTAATAATATTAGAATATATAATATCTAAAATAAACTTAGAAAGAACTAAATACTCTAGTCATTTTATAAATAGTTTATATGAATATAAAAATATTATTTTAATATAATATTTATCTATTTTATCTAGTTGTCAGTCTTAGGATAATAAATAATTAATAATTAATTAATAATATTTTGATATTAGATTAGATATTTCTAGAATTTAGCCACGAACTAGAAATCTTAGAAATTATAGAATAAGAAAAATTATATAATTTTTATATATTATATATATATTATAATTATTTCAATAATATTGGTAATAAAATTATAGAATATCAAATATTTTATTTTAATAAATTTATTAATAACTACTAATACAGTATTATATTTTTAGCTCTTAGATAGGTATGTAATAAAATCTATAAATATATTTTATTAAATATATCTAAAAATAAGTAAAGATTTTAGAATATTTTATTTTATTTTTTATAGTAAAATAATATAATAATAAATATAATAATTCTTTATCTATTATTCTATATAATAGTAAAAATTAGGCTAATAATATTTTTAAATTAAAAATTAAATAAATAAGATTTTTTAAGATATTCGAAGAATAATTTATTATATATTAATTAAATTAATTTAGCTTTCAAATTAACATTTATCATAGTTAGAAATCTAGAGATAATTTTTATAAAATAATAAATTTTTCTTTTATAATAAATTAGAAAGATACTTAAATAATAATTTTTATTAATTATTAATATTTTTAATATATTTTAGATTTATTTATATTTTTATATATATTTTATAAAATAATTTAGATTTCTAGTAGCAGTTACAAATCTTAATTATTTTTGATAATATTATTTTAAAATTAGATTATTATGGGCCTATGGCTAAGGTATTCCTAAAATAAAGTTTCAAAGTTTTTTCTATATAAATAGTTATTTAAAATCTAAAATCATTCTAAATTTATTAAATATAGGATTGTCTTTGGCAGTTCTAGATTCAGGGTCTAGAAGTATTCTATATTTATTAAATATAGAATCTTTTTTAATAATTTTAAACTTAAGATTTTTTTAGTCTAGATAGATAAATAAGCAAGATCTAGATTTTTTTATTTTAGTATACTTTAGTTTTAATATAGTAATTATTTATTTATTTTTTAAAAAAATCTTTTAATCTTTTAATTAAATTATTAGACTTAGTTCTATAACACCTGAGATAGTATATAATTTTAAAATTAAAATAAAATAAAAACTCTAATTGTTAGACTTAATAGCAGTTTAAAAGTTTGATTAATATAAAATATTTTAAATTATAGTAATTAATAATAATCTA